CATAACAGTGCTAAATACCGTACTCACATAAATAGCTCTTAATATATAAAAAGAACTAAATATTATAGCTATTATTATTAGGATTTTCTTGACACTAAAAATTGGACTTATTGGTTTTGGCATTTTTACTGAATACCTTTTTCCTATGTTTTTCTCTTCATATTTTAGCTTAATCAAAAATTTAATTATTTTTGTGATCAAATCATTCCTATTCATCTTCCTCTCCCTCATCTATTTTTTCTATATCTTTAGATAATTCTTCTTCTAGCTTTTCAACAGTTGGTAGTGTTTCTTTTAGTTGATCTGTTAATTGTTTAGTAAATTTATAATTTGATACCCCTATAGGTTTCTCTATGCCTTCCAATGCGTATTCTGCTATTACCTTGTTTTTAGATTTACATAGTATTAAACCAATAGAAGGTTTATCATCTTTATGTTTTAATTTATCGTCTATAACTGAAAGATAAAAATTAAGCTTGCCAGAATATTCCGGCTTAAACTCTGTAGTTTTTAACTCTATTACAAAGTAACAGCGTAATTTTAAGTTGTAAAATAGCATATCTACGTAAAAATCCTTATTACCCACCTCTAAATGGTATTGATTCCCTACAAATGCAAAGCCTTCTCCCAATTCTAAAAGAAACTTTTGAATATGTACAATTAACCCTTTTTCTATTTCTCTTTCATGCGCATCATCTGTTGCACTTAAAAAATCAAAACAGTAAGGATCTTTCATTAATCCTTTTGCAAGATCTGATTCTAAACTAGGTAAATTTTTATCAAAATTTGTAACTCCTCGTCCTTTTCTTTCATATAGGCTACTTTCTATATGCATCAACATTACATTTCTTGACCAGCCATGTTTTATGCTGCTCTTTATATAAAATTCACGCTTAGTTTTATCTGGAACCTTATCAATCAATACAACATTATGTCCCCACGGTAATTGTGCAACAAGTCGTTGCACAATTTGTATATCCTTATACTCTTCCGCAAAATTTCTCATATA